GGATCCGCAAGTTGTTAAATAAAGCGAAAACGCGGATTACCCCTTATCATCCCCTAGGCAATGGGTTGGTCGAAAGGACGAATAGACGCTAAAGAGCTTGCTGCTAGCCATCGTAGAGCGGGATTACGCTGGTGAGTGGGATGACTGCCTTCCAAAATGCCTTGTGCTGTATCATTTGGCCTCCCTCTCGTCTTCTCCCTGGCGCCATGATCCGCGATTATCTGTTGTGTTTGTCTGTCGTGCAATCGTGAGCTTCCCCTTTGCTGCTCGTTTACCGACAGACCGTACTGCAGGACTCACGTTACATTTTTGGTGTCAGAGATATCCCATGGAATATTCCGACAAAAGCGGACTTTCGTTCCTTCTTCCATCCACTTGGACGCATAAAATGACGTGTTGCTCTGGGATCAACCGACCACCCCTGCGTCAGCCTAGCGTCTTCACTCCAGGTGACGATTTCGAACTATGGAAGGACCGAATGCGTACCTATTTGTCTGATGTGGCCCCACGCGACCATCAGCAGTACATCGTGAATTTCCTCAGTGACGAGGCCGCAAATCAGTTGTTAGCGTGCAGGTTACTGCAAAACGCGCCTGCGGTGACCATTTGGTCAAACCTCCGTACCTTTTTTGCAGCCAGGACTTCTCCCGCTGTTTGTTTACAGTTCTTTTTTACCCGACAGCAGCTAACGTTAGAGAACGTACAGCGTTACATCGGAAGCTTGCGCGAACTTGTAGCAAAGGCATGTTTTGAGGTTTCACACCTAAAACTTGAACAGCATGTGCTTGGTTGTTTTAATGTTGGAGTTACGAACCCCGATCTTCTTTTGTAGTTCAGTCGTAAGCTTCCCCTTCCGGTCACTCTCAGAAGCCGTCGATCGTAATCTGATTGACTCAGATGTATTTGATACACCAGACCGTGTGGGACAGTGATTCCGAATCATGTAGCCTGCCCAAAGTGCACAATGTTGGGCTACCACTTAGGCCAATACTAGATAGGTGTAACTCACCGTATCATTCTCAGTCACGAGGTGGCTCGTCAAGCTGCTGGAACCAGTCACGAAAGCTATAGCTGGATACAGTCTCAAGGATATCTTTGATTTTCTTGACTCAGTGAGGAAACTTGATGTAGCTGGGCGACAGATGTTTTCCTTAGATGTGGTGTCTCTTTTTACCAATGTTCCATTGTAGGGACCCTTGACAATCTGTTCGAGTTCATCCAGTTGCGCAACATCGAGGTTGTATCCCTCCAGACCGCTGAGACAACTGCTACTCATGTATACGAGAGACTCATTTTCAGTTTAATGGAGCGCTATATCGATGGAGTGGCAATGAGTCCACCACTAGTACCGTTGCGCGCGGGCATCTTCATGAGCAAATTGAAGTGCAACCAGCTGAATGAATCCATCAACAGGTTGGTTTATGTAGATATGTCGATATGTAGACGACATATTTTGCATTGTGGAAAATGGAATGCTCGCCGATGATCTACTGGCCCACTTTAAGACTGTACATAGTGACATAACTTTCACTATCGAGCTAAAACGTAATGACTCGTTGGCATTTTTTAGATGTCCAAATCAACAGAGCATCGGACGGATCAGTGCGGAGGAGGGTGCACAGAAAGGAAACCTGGAATGGACAGTACGTCCATTTCGCTAGTTCTGTTCTGATATGTAAAAAAGAACCTCGTCCGTTGCCTAAAGGAGAGAGCGACGAGAATATGTACAGATGATACGCTTTTAGATGGGGTGAGCTTTATACGAAGCGTACTCGAGCGTAATGGGTAATCTGAAAAATTCATCCAGAGGCACATTCAACCGCGGGTACAAAAGCTCAAACCCGTTTCCGCGGAGAAGCGGATGATATACTTTCGTTACCATTTAAGGTTGACACGATAGCGGAACGGACCGCCCGAAGACTTTCCTTAGCAACAGTGAGAACGTATATTGCCACTAATCTGCGCGTAAGCTTCACCTTAACACCGATTGTGCACCCACAACTTAAAGACAGGATACCTCGGTTGCAGACCTCCTTCTATGTGTACAATTTCTCTTGCTCTTGTCGATCAAGGTATGTTGGGAAAACGAACAGGCGGCTTTCCGTTAGGGCTCGAGAGCATTGCCCAGCTTGGCTCTACAGAGGTGTGAGTAAGATTGTAACGAGTGGAGTATTGTCGCACCTAGTAGACTCCGACCATCAAATCAATTCGCATGACGCATTCACACCGATCTACTGTGACTGCGGACGTTACACACGGGCAGTCAGATGCCGCCTGCTGTCGGCAGCAGAGGCGATCGCAATTCGGCTCTACAACCCGGATCTATGTACACAGAAAAACGACCATACCTTAACCCTGCCTTGGCCTCAGACCAACGCGACTAACAATGGCAGTCACGCCACTTCACCTCAACCAGACCAATCACGTAGACTTATATATTAGTTACGCTGCTTCAGTGACTCATCGAATTTATCGATTGCCGAACTAACTTGACATTTTAAGTCTCCAAGCATTATCGAGGCATTCGCAGACGCATACCGTACTGTGGTGTTGACGGGCGACGGTCGCCTCACCATATACCAGGTATCCCGAGAGATCAAGGCGTCTGAAATGTCTTGTTGAAACTTGACTTGCTTGCCATTGATTTCACCATAGTGTATTTGCGCCTGTTGATACCGTCAGCTGTGAAAGTTGTGGTCAGATTGGGACGTCGGAATGACATCCAAGTTTGGCGCCTCCCTGTCTTAGTAGGATCATGCACCAGGTAACGCGATCCTTCGTGCTCTATTTTGACGCAGCGGTTGCAAATAAGATTCGTGAATAGGCAGTTACGAATAAAGTGCCATTCTCTGCAAAACCAACAAGCAGGAAGAACTCACATGAGCTGTTTCATTCTGAGTGTTCTGACTAGCCGTACGGATCACTTGTATTGGATGCGGATGGCTGTCGAAGCTTCATGCTTTAATTTCACCATACTTTAGCATTCAGCAGTCACTTACTGTAGTGTTTTCGGGATCCTCTTCGGTATCGAGTATTGGCTTCTTTCACTACTTGAAAGCCTCAAACAAACCACCGCGCCACGTTAAGGCCTAGCCTATCTATAGTGATGCTAAACATGACTACGGCCTGATCGTTTCTGCCACCTAATGTATGTTATGCCGCGACGAAATCAAAAAACACAGCTGCGTAGGAAGACGATTATTCGCGCAAACAGCAAGAACAACTGTACACCAAAAAGGGAGCTCAAGACAGTCAAATAGTTATGTGAGTCCTATGGACGCTGAATCAAAATCACCAATCAGTGGCTATAGCAGACGGCCAATAGCCGAAATACATGCGCACGTACGCACGCATGCAGCGAGCGCTTGGCACAAGGTATCAAAGTAGAGATGACCTCACTGCATCGTCTTTGTTATTTTCCGTAAAATTGCTCAGTAGATAACTCACACTGTTGCACAAGCGTGCACTGCGCGTTCATCGCTTCCTTTGTGATAGTGATGTTCGTCAGTTCCACATGCCCCAAATGTAGCTTCGAGGCAGCAAACACAATACGACATTAGGGATATCAGTTATGAACTGTGAGTTGTGGGAACACCGAGGTCGATGCCCCAATGGCTCTTCCGCTACATCACATCATTTTTCCGCCTCTGTTTTTTCCGTTACATTTGTTGTCCGGTAGCGAACCTTGCTCCTACACGCTCATTTTAGACTTGCGAGACATCACACTATAACAGCATCATCAACCTGCGGGGCGACCGTTGGTTCTGAATCCATTCATTTTAGCTCTCCAATCCTCTCCGAACCGCCCAACGACTAATCTCTCCCTGTGTCTGGTTGATCAGTGTGCTGAGTCAATTGTTTCATGGCGACATTGGTTGGTAAGCTTGGACAACACTTCTTGTGGTTGCACTTTTTTGATGCTCCTCTCTTTCGCGGACTTACTGCTTTCGATCTCAGCGCACATTATTATATTTACACTTATTCAACTCGGATTTACTAGCGCTGTCCAGTAGATCCACGATTACAGGATTGTCTATCGAGCATCATCGTTGCATCGGTCGCCGCAGTTTCAGTAGGATTTTCGCTGAAACCTACAGACACATCAACTTTTCTTCTCGAGTCCATAGTACACATTTTACCATCATTCAAGAGAGTGCTTTTGGCGCTAACAAATGAATTACATGAATCCGACACTCTGGACATGCGCGGTGCGCTAAACGCTTGTACTATAGTGGCGAGCGGAATATATCCCCAGTACTGACGTTCAAAAAACTACTTGAGGATGCAGACATCCATACTACGTAATTTAGCCAGTGACCATCAAATGACGGGATAAGTGCAATAGAAATAGTGGTCTTGGTCAAACTCCACTTGAACTATAGGCATGAATAATCACATCTGTCGCAGAACTCGGTCTTTCAGGAACAAACGGTTTATTCGGTAAAGCGAGCTCATCAAAGATGACAGCCTGACAAGCATGTAGGAACCTCGATAGAAATAACTAAGTCATTTCTATAACCAACGACGCTGTTGCACTCCTGAGATTCTTCCTGTGAATCAGTTAAACAAAACCGCTCTAGCGAACCAATCAGCGCGTAGACAAATATGTGCAGGCGTCCAGTCAACTGCTCTGTTCGCTTGCGGCACGCTATCCGCTTGCTTTCAGAATCCTATCACATCTGTGCTAGTGCAAAGATTTTGTTGGATCATATGCACCTTCTCTTACCGACTCTGTTTTCACTTTGTAATTTTCACCCTAACCATCCTACGAAACTTGTCAAGCATTTGCATTTTTGCTCTTTATAAATCACCGCTCCATCACCCCATTAAATTCAATTTTGATTAGTTTCTAGTTTTCGGACTGCTGCCATGCGGTAGCAATTCTGTTGACTGACGAATGCTGCTAATTGCGTTTTGTTACCTTCGATGAGCGTCTACTAAGCTTATGGAAATTCTGTTGTACTGCTTAACATATGTATTATAATCATTCTTTGTCTACAGCCATCAGTGCCTCGTTGTTTTTACAACTACCGTGGCTTCCAGCTTAAGCTTCGTGGCGGATGACTTCTTTTGTGAATGCCTATAATACTCGCGCTGTCACCTTTCTTTGATCTTGACGCGTGCCATCCTTTATCTCATGAGCGTAGTTGATTTCAATTCCATTCAGCAAGTGAGTCCCGAGCAAGAGGAAGCTGCGCGTCAATTTTTATCTGAACGTTACAAGGAATTTCTCCAAATATCCGATGAAGACCGTCGGCGCTATGTGACGTTGTCCAAAAAGATGCACGACGCACTTGACAACAATGACCCGTCGGTACTAAAATCAGTGATCTACCAACACATATGGGAAAACCCGGAGAGGTTTATTCGCATGAAACTCCCTTCACTTCCGTTACCACTGAGAGAAGAGCTTATGGTGCGCAATGTGATGGATAGCTGTCCGTTCAAATCTCTTATCAGCTGTCTTGGAGGTCTGTTCAGCTTGTGTACTCATTTCTGACTTGGGTTTTTTCCTCAGGTTTCGTCTTGGGAGGTATATTTGGGTTATTCTCCGCAAGTGTTGATCCTATGAGCACCACGCATGGGGCCAACATACCCACCACTCGTGAGGTGGCCAGGGAAATGTACTCTCGTTCTTTATCTCATGCTAAGAGCTTTGCAATGATCGGTGCTATGTTTGCGGCTACCGAATGTCTTCTAGAAAGCGTAAGTCTCGCTAAATTCTTTATTTTTTTAGCACCGAGGTAAAAGTGATCTGTTAAACAGCACCCTCTCTGGTGCTATTGTTGGAGGGACAATTGGATTCAGAGGTATACCGTCACTTTTTGTCGCTGATTTCAACCCTCGCTTTTCAATTTTTCTAGCTGGGTTACAACCTGCTATAGTCGGAGCTGCTGGTTTCGCTCTGTTTTCTACCGCAGTCGACTATTACTTCCGACATAAGTCTTGATCATCCATCTACGCTTACTCATATGTGCAGTTTACTTATTTTCTGTAAAAAATGGCAATAAATCTCAACCTCCGCTCCAGACTTTTGTTATCTGTGATTTCAATGCCATAGAGTTCGTATTGTGATTTACTTCGGTCCGCTTATGTTTTCAGATGATTCGTAGTCCATCGCCCAGTGGGACTCTTAATACCTCAACTAAGACTTCGCACCACCATTCACACGAGGGACCCGTTCGTGGACGACGCGAGATCCAGGAGAATGGAAAACGAACTACTGGTACAGGCAGTCGTCATTCAAGTCACAGAAAAGACAGTCATTCTCCACACCGATCTCACTCCTCAAAGCACTATCGACACGACTCATCCAAGCTGCACCGCAATATTCAGAAGATCCCTCATAAATCTGCTGGAAAAGTCAAAGAGCACTCGTCACGCCCCACACACAAAACGAAGCGCAAGAAGAAGCGTTCGCATTCAAGCAGCAGATCGTCGTCTAGCTCAACCGAGAACGATGCAGATTACGAAATGCATTTGAAGGCAATGGCACTCGGCATCCCTAAAGAATTGATTTCTATGTCTTTGGAGGACCTGGAAAGGCTGCAGGAAGAAAGACAGCAGAAGAAGGTTTGGTTCCGATTTGAATGACTACTTCACGCTTTCACGATTTGCACTTGTTTTTTCCTGAGCATTTCAGAAATCTCGCCCTAAACCTACCACGAAAGGGTTTCTTCATTTCCCACTATTAGATGCGAAATCCTCCACCTAACCTACGTTATTCTTTTGCATCTGGTATGTCTCTTTTGCCCGAAGATATACAGAATGCTCCCGTATGCATTCACTAGTTTCAGGTGTATGGGACGTATTTCCACACTAATTGAGGTATTGGTACTCGCGGTGTATCGGTTGTCTGCTTAGTTCCAAACTTCGTTTGAATTTTTTCCGGTGGTCTGGGCGTTTTACAAGTACTCAAGGATTTTGTCGCGTCATCAGCAGGTAACATGTATCTTTCAAAACTTTTAAATAATCATTAACACAAGATAAAAATGCCACTCTATTACCGAAGTGTACAACTTGACGGTGTAACCTGTTACTGGGTATATCAGGAATTTACCTCCTCGCTCTGCGATAGATAAGAAGTTGCCTACCTCTTAGTACTGGTAGGATTGATCGTTTCCATTATTGTAAAAAGATCGCGTCCCGTGAAGTGACTAAGGCCAAGTGAAATCACTTGTAGAAAAACACAGCAGGATAGTTGTACTATACAAAGTAAAACAGAATCACTGCGTCCTTGAATTTTTATTTCCGTCTTCCATCGCACACGAACCTGCTTTTTTGTTTATAAAGTTTTCAACCGTGTAATTAGACGCAGCACTAATCTGTTTCCAGGCTCTCATCAAAGTGCTGGAGACCCCTGAGGAGAAACGCGCACGCCGTTTGGCTAAAAAGGAAGCCAAGGAACGCTGGAGGCGCGAGCGAATGGGGTGGGACAAGGAGTACTTGGGATACACCAACGAAGATAACCCCTTCGGTGATCACCGCCTCTCCGAATCGTTTGTTTGGAAGCAGAAACTTGAATCTGAAGGCTTGGCTCATCTTTCAAAAGAAGAGGTTTGTGTAGACAACTTAGTGAATGTAAACATGCGGTTTTTAGTCCTCTTTACCACACTAAATCAACGCATTGTCGGTACATCCATTTGCCCTTATCTCATCACACCTACCTCGAAGAATGCAGTGGGCCATTTATCCTATACAATTCACTCGGGTTTGGCATAAACTGTTATGCTTTGATCACCCTGTGGCACTATAATAATACTCACCATCACTCAAAAACTTCAGCTAGTCACGGGCATTTCTGGTCTTCAGCAAAACAAATATTCCCATTTCATTAACAAGAATCAAAGCCAGAAATTAGTTCAGGGTCAAGAATTTGTCGGTAAACTCTCATCGCTAATTTGCATATTTTCACTAGTGTCCGGATATCCTTAATCATTTCGTTGAATTTGCTTAAGTTATTCTCATCTTGTAACTAGGCAGCTTAATTCATATCCAGCCAAATTGTATAAAAGTTCTCACTATGGTTTTAAATTTAGGCACTGCCATCATACATTTCATGCCGCATATTTCACATCTAGTTTCTAGTTGAATTTGCAAAACGCAATGTTCACTATGTACTTTTTACCACAGTAGTTTGTGTGGGAAGCTAAGCTTTAAATGTAATTAGTGCAACTATAAAGATACGAATTTTAGCTCATCACATCTAGCCTTATCGGCAGCATTTGTGGAGTAATCGTGAATGCATTTGGTGAAAGCACGTGAAACATGTTCTATAGTTACATTTACATATATTGCTAAACATTACGCCACAGTATTCTAACAAGGGCCTTAAATTGGTATCATATGCTGTAGGTTTGTTTCTATCAGCGTTAATAACTGGTATATATGTCCAATTACTTGCATTGCTTTAGACATAACGTAGTTTGCATGTTCAATAAGGTTTAGGGGACTGGAATGCCTCTCCTAAATCTGACAGAAGAGCAGGCGGGAATGGTATCGCCATGAAATCAAAATAATCCGGCCTAATTGTAGCATTCATAAGTTATTATATTGCATTTCGATGTAAAGAACTGCATCTGTCACTTTACGGCACAGCCGTATATGGTCTGTAGATCACATTTGATGTTTGCTACGGTTGCATATTGGGTTGATTGGAGCATACACAACTTTCAAATCATCTGCAATTAAGTATAGTTTAGTGAAGCGTATAACAGGTATAAGATCCTTTATGTACAATAAGGAAAGAAGAGAACCTATTACAATTCCTTGAACTACGCCGCTGGTAAAGTTTTTAGGCTTAGACATGAACCCATTCATATTGACTGTCTGCGGGCGTCCTGTTAGATACGTTTTAAACAAAAATAAAACGAGTTGGTATGCCAAAATTACCTAGTTTCAATAATATCCTTCTTTGTTGAACTCGATCTAACACTTTTGCATGTCAAAGAATGACAGTGCACCGTAGTTCAGAATCAATCACCTTAAGATTATCTAAGAAACCAATTTGACAAACCATGCCACAGCGGTACTTTAAGAACCCATGCTGTGAAGATGAAAAGAGACTAAAAGTCATCAACATCATCAACACATGTTAGCTGAGGGTGAGAAACACACCTCAGCTAAAAGAGTTTATTTCAGTTGAACAACTATGATCCAAGCACCTTGGTGCGGTGTATCCAGTTGCCACGACTCACATCGTAAGAATAACAATAAATAACTACAAGATAGTGTTGTTGAATGCAAATATAACTTGGAAAATGGAAGCAAAAAGGAAGTGCATTAAATTAATTAGAATGGAACGAGAATTAACAACCAAATGTTAGAAACCGGATGTAGAAATTTCACTGACTACGTGACTGAGCCATGTTTGCTACGGTCTTCAACCACCGGTGTGGACCATCCCGAGACCTCCATCCAAGAAGATGGCAAGCACCAGCCTGACCAAGTCTCTCAGTCGATTTTTTCATGCCTCTATGTCACGTCATGTACTGCCGCTCGCGATTTCGCACAACTTGGTGCAGCCACGGCGTATAATGCACGCCGAGGAAGCCGATCAACGGGCATACTTGGACATGCCCTAGCCAACGTAACCGACTAAGATACAGTAAACACTCGAGTGAGGAACCAGAAGACTTCTTGCCGAAAAACCAACACGCGGACCTCAGCATTGATCACCCGGTGTTCCCACCAGACGTGAGCAATACTCCGCAAGCACCGGTGATCAAAAACAACCAAGCGTTTAATGTTTTGCCGCGAACTGGCCAGGTCTCTGATCCATACAGTAAGACCGGCGCTACCACAGCGTTATACATCCTACCTTCCACTGGCGGGCTGATATCCCGTCGTATCCGTAGATGATTGAGCTTCTGGAAAGCCATACGGGATTTGCTGACAAGCAAAGTAACCACCTCACTGAGGTGACCATCAGAAGTGACATAGCCACCAAGGTAAATGACCTGATCCACCACTTCAAGTGACTGTTCTGTGATAGCTAGAACTGGAGATGTGTCGGTACCGTCCTGCAACAGTACTTTGCACGTTTAAGGTGCAAAGCACATGCCGAAGCGTGCGGCGTTACGCGTCAGTCTATCCAGCAGTGTCTATATGGCCACTGCGTCAGACCCAAGAAAAGCTACATCGTCCGCATACTCCAGGTTTGTCAGTCGGTCACCTAGCAGAACTTCTACTCCGGTAGAGTTTGAAAGAACGGAATCACTCATGATCGTTTCGATAAAAAAGTTAAAAAGGAAAGGAGATATAGGACAACCCTGGCGAACCCCACTTGTCGTGGGGAACTCAAGAGACAATTTCCCATAGACCCTTACACAGCCTCGGAGGTCACTGTAAAGAGACTGCATAATAAAAAGGAATTTAGCCGGAAAGCCCTTCACGGATTGGTAATGCCGAAAGCTGGTGCGGTCAAGAGAGTCGAAAGCGGCTTTCAAATCAAGTCGTTTGCATGTCTCTCTGCTGTAAAGCTTTGCGAAGAGCAAATATGTGATCGATGCAACCACGGCCAGGCCGGAAGCCAGCCTTGTTTTCAGTGATTCGGTTCTCACTGTGACCAGTCGTAGAAAAATGATACCCGTGAGAAGTTTGGAGGGAACGGAAACAATGTTAATGCCTCGATGATTTTCGCACAAAGTGCGCTGACTCTTCTTGAAGATGGCCGCGACAGTTGACGGTCGCAAGTCTGTAGGCATCTCTTCAGTGTTCCAAATGATGTTAAATAGAGTACCGACTCCAGGCAACAAAGAGTCACTACCATTTTTAGCAAAGATGGAGATCGTCGTCTGGTCCGGGAACCATGTTTCGTTTCAACACGGGAAGCTCATGTCGAATCTCTTCCCATGTCGGCTCAGCTGATTCGGCAAACGGCAGTGTCGCAGCAGGACTTCTGTATTGGTCCTCACAATGTTCCGCCCAACAGGCTAGTCGACGACGCTGAGAATAGATCAACTGTCCATCTTTCTCAGAGACTGTCTCGTCGGCCGGTGGCCGAGTGGTCGGCACGTTTGCTTTCCAACCATAAGGTCACCGGTTCGAATCCGCGTAGGGGTGGGCGTCCTCGCGGTATACTCAGCCCGCGCGCGACTAGTGGTGGTCGCGCGGCAGCGAAGCGCCGTTACGGCGTATAAGCTGACACCTTTTTTTAAACTGATAGCTTTCTCGGACCTGTGTTCCGAATGATCTGGCATAGCACTCGGCTGTTCCCAATAACACTTGTTTTCTCCATCTCACGGGCCTTTGCTACCCAACACCGTTCTCAGTCGATTCGAAGACTCCTTGTTAGACGTCGTTTCAAGGAGTTACGGTCACGCCGAAACTCAGTGCCCATTGGAACCTGCTTCCGTGTTTCGATCATACTGATCGATACGTCGGAGATAAACACACAGTTATGACATCTCAACTTGGGCACGCAACATACGTCAGAGGCATTCTTCGTGACACATTTGAGACGATCCCAGTCAGCGTTCGGTTCACTAACCTCATTCGTCACTGACAATTGGTGAGCCAGTTCGTCATCGCACTGCTGAACTGCAGATTGCGTTCAACTCACAAGCAAATAGATTAGAAGATAGGCACTTCCTTGAAACGAGTGTTAGCGCCAAGCGTGCGCGAACTAGATCATGGTCGGAATCCAGGCACGTGCTCCAAATTGACCGACAGTCTTGGACTGCTGTGCGTCATCTGTTGCTGAGGGCAATATGATCAATTTGGGTCCAGGTCATTGGGGAATTCGATGGGCGCCAGGTGACGCTGAGACTAAACGAGGAAGGAAATTTCTTTCGTTACTATCCACCATCATTCGTGATACAGTGAAAGTATGGATGGTAAGGCGATAGTTACGAATGTATGTTTTAGATCCCGATTTACCTCGCGGTATGACAATGGCCTGCTTCTACTTCCCATGATACTAGCCGGACTATAACGACAGGGAAACGTATTCAGTAGTGGCTATGGGATGTCGCACGCCCCACTGAAAATGCTGGAATATCATCACCATCAACCAAACTGGACCAGGACTGTAGGATGGCCAAACCAAGTTAATCATGCGTCTAGTTGTGGTCAACAACAAAGACGTTAGGTGTGACTGAAGTTACCAGAGGCGCGTTTCCATTGCTGAAAGTCTCGGCTCTACGACTGTTGACAACCTTCCCGTCCGGTGTTATAATATGCGATAGTGGTCCTTTTTGTCACACATTTTCTCTTTTTCAGCAAAATACTTCGCCCACAGTTTTTCTCCTTCATGAGGTGCATTCCACTTCTTACCAAAGGCTTTTCTCGCATCATTTTCAACTACAAGTCTTTGGAGATGCAACAGTAGATGGTATGCCTTCTGGTACTTCGTTATCGGATATGGGTGTCATTTTCGATGCGTTTATCACACGGTCGTCACTTCCTCGTGAAACAGACGGGGATGGGTTTGTCGCCGGTCTGGGACCAACAGGTGTTCTTTGACGCTTTTGATTCGTGCTTTCTGAATGGGCAATTTGCAGCTTGTATATCAGCATAAGGAGTTTGCTTTGTGTCTGAGCAAGGGACGCTGTATTTGGATCTATAGGTATATCGGGCTTTTCGTTAAAGCTCACGAATCGTGTCTGCTTGACTTGGAGAGTTATTGGTGGTTGTAGAGTGATCTAACCTAACTGTGTTGCCTTTGGGGCGATGCTATCTTTAGCGAATGCTATCCCCGTCACCTATTTCAGTGATGAACAGGGGGGAGGTTCTAAATTTTTGAATTGGTTTCACAGCACTTTGGCTTTCATTTACCAAGCAAAGTGCACGCCACTAAGTCGGAATAGGGTTGAGCATAGGTGACGTTGTATTTTCACAATTTTTTACAACTAATGTCATTTACGGGCATGTTACCTGTTCCTGTAACGGCGAGCCTGATAACTGCAAACTAAACACCGTCTTGTGGGTAAGAGCGTCTCTAGCACGCTGTCTTTCGGTTACTTCAGATGCTACAGAATTGGTTCTTGCCCCATTCATATACCTGAGAATGAAACAGATATCAGGCTGTCAGTGACAGACTCAAACCTTGAGTTTCGCTTTTTACTCGTTTAACTGCTCTCCTAATAACGCACTTTTGTTCGCCGGTGATAACACGAGATCAGCAATATTTGTCATTTAAACCGGCATTTTATCCACATAACAAATTAGAGGTTTTTGGGTGTCTAGCTTAGCACTGGTCACTACGCTTCGGCAACTTACCCTTAATGACACATGAGGTAGCAGGTATGGTATTCTCGGCATCTTAAAATGTACTATCAGACGGCAACTTAAACCTTTTGACCTGCAGGTAAATGAATAAATGAACAAATATGCATTTACGTTGGGTTTAAAACAAACACAACAGTAAAGACAAGACCGAGAATAGAGGGAAGTGAAAAAGTACTCGGAAAGGTAACGTAAAAACGAAGACTCTGTTGTTAAGACACTCAGACTGGATCTTCTTAACTTGGATAAAAAGGTATTCCTATTTATTTGGTTTGCTCAGTTCTGTTATCCTTCTGCTTATTCTATGTCAATTTTGCGTGTTTATTTTCCTTCAGATTCTGTAGTGGTTTTCTGATATCCCGATGTGGCACCGCTTGGTGTAAATGTTGACAAGATGCTCACCTGTCTAACATCCTCCACCTCGATTATTGGCTCCAGGAAACTGAATCTTTGCTGGATTGGGCGGGGTGTACACTCCTCCTGGCTGTGCTAGGCTCAAAGATTGGTTCCATCTAGTGTGGAGCGGACTTTTGTACGTCTGTTACGCATGATTCCCTACATAGATAGGAATGCTTTTGCTGTACGTGTCGAAGGATTATGAGTCGGCTCTGTTGCAACGTGGCTGCCATCCGCATTCCTCCGGTCCTATTCGTTCCGGTTTACACAGGATTTGATGTGTTTGTGAATGGAGCTGTGGGTCGTGCAGTGCAAGCCACCCATATTCCCACTTTCGGCGCAAGTGTCCTGTGGCTGTTCCTATGGAGGCTGCAGTCACAGGCAAATTCGGAACCGGATGCCGCCATCCGTGGGCAGCACAACTAAGACTGTTCTTCGATTTAAACTCCTAAACTCATAGATTAACCACTCGGTGTTGAAAAGTGCCAATGTTTGGCGAAACTCGAAGAGGTTGAGGTGGAAGTAAATAAAGGAAGATACAAGAGATGACTAAAAGACAGATATGGAGTATAAAAGTTACTCGCAAAATTTAGACGAACGCGAAATCATTCAAGGGAAATAAGACTGGTGAACCGCTTATAAATGGCCGAATTAAAGGATAAACAGACCATACAAGAACACGCACCGTTTTTGTGTTACCCGCTAGCCTCATACCTCGATCTCTCGGCGACACTTTTTCAACAATGTCAACTAAGTTGGAGGTGGTTCAATGTTGCTGCTCCCAACACTGACACCCCACGACCGCGGTTTCGTCCTGGTTTAGACTCATCAGGTGGATATAGCAGCTGAGGTGGAACTCAGCCTAGTGATTCACGGTGGACGCCATGATCACTATGCCACTGCGATTCGCGAGCAACGCTTGGCACAGTGTGTCGCAATCCACCTACACAGCGGGTTCTCCAAATTTAACTTTGAACGTTAACCACGATTTATAACTAACATGCACATTCCTCTTCTTCCAATGGCAGGAGCCTCTTTCACCCTAGTGTTTACTTTTCATCAGCTTTAGAAAACCTTTATTAATCGTTTGAACAGGTGCTTCTGTGTAATGAAGTCAAGCTGGTCCTTTGGTTAGCCACTGATAGGTCGACCAGAAGCCGCATTACTCCTCTTTGGCTTAACGTGCACGTACTCTCCCACTCCAGGCATGTTGATTTCAAGGCTTCCCTGTGGTACTACCGAAATAACCCATCTTAGTGCTGCGTCAGATGTGTCGTCCGTACATTTAGATCGCGTTGATTGTAGCTGCCGCGTCAAAATTCGGCTAAAGTTTCGTCAAGGTGAATGAAACGAATCCCTTTACATAAGCATATAACGCTTCATATTATGCTGTAAAAATTATTTTTTTTCGTATTGCTATCTGCGATATAGTTTAATGTGTGTTACTAACGCAACACAAGTTGATGTATATGAGCGGTATATCGCTCCTTTACATCAAAAGCGAATGGTGCAATTCGATGTTTGTCGTGAACGAACGGCTGAATACATGCAAGACATGACTTAACAGACATACGGCGCTCACAGCCAAAATTTGTACCTTATGACTGAGACGGTAAGTACGAAAAGTAGTACACAAATTATTGGTCACGTTCTAATGGAGACTTAAATGCGTTTGAACACCAGAGATATTAGAAACGCATTTCCTGACCAGTTTTTCAACTGATATATCTCATCAACGTTACAGTCTATTTCCTTCTTTGTCCTTCACACGTTCTACAGATTCAAAGAATACAAAAAAAGAAAATGGAAGAGAATAAGTTGGAACTGAAGTCAGTGCGGCGGCGTCGAGCTGAGCGGGAACGAGAACGCGAGGAGCGTGAAAAAGAGATGGAAATGATGCAGAGGGACAAAGAAGCCGAATATTACCGAACGTGGGAGCAACAGGAAGACACATTCCATTTGGATCAAGTGAGGTTCTATTGACCCGTTATTTATGTAACTTGTCCCGTAACCATCCGTCCTTTTCTCCAGAAGTTCGCACTGTGCAATCTGGTTTTGTTGGTTTCGATGTTTTCATCATTATTCTTCTAATCGTGGTTATTCAGATCCACTTTACTTACTTTCCTGCGGGCGGTTAGAGGATTAACGGGGGATTGCATAGCATTTTCAACTGCTATCTTTGTTTTCAACGCCTCGATATAGAGGCTCACACTCAATGGGTGTACGCTATCTTGCGGATTATTCCGTTGTCTGGAGTCAATATTTTCTATCTCAATGTCTTTGTTTTCATGTTTAGGCCAAGTTACGTTCGCGTATTCGAATCGCTGATGGGCGGGCCAAGCCGATTGATCTGCTAGCCAAGCATATTGCAGACCAGGACGAGGATATGATGGAGCTCACCTCAGCGGATCTGTCCGGCGTCATCGACATTCTCGAGCCTACACAATTTTTGGTCGGACTAAGCATAGAGGACTTAGAAGATTTACTGGAGGACATTAAAGTATGTTTTTTACCCCTCATCCACCTACCATGCTCGACGCCTTCGCTTCACTGTGCTGATTCCTATTTTCATGGCGACACCGGGTTGAGGCAGCCAGGTCTATCGCACTTAGATCTTCGTAGTATGATTGATCAACAGACAGAACTATTTCATTATTGGGTTTTGGAGTATCCACCTTATGTTTGGATTGTGACACGCAGTCTTACTTGGGACGATCACCGAAAGCGCATCCGAAGTGTTTCGGCATTTTTGGCTTCGAACACTGCACTCTACCACCGGTTGCGTTCGTTGCTGGGAATGGAACCTTGGGTGTAATGGTTGACGGATGGCGCCTTGATTACTAAACTGTTGAGATCCACCAACTGCTGCATGAGTGGCCGCATGTTTCCTTCCGCACAAGGTAACCTGCATCATGTGGATAACCGTGATTACCTTATTCGATTCCACGACGGCTGTGATGATATGCGCCAGATGGCTAGCTACAAACTGAAACGCATTGGTTTCCTATAGCATTTGAGTGGTACCCATACAAGGTGTTTCACCGTTTCCATATGGACACAGCCACCAACAATTTCAGCAAGTAGTTGACTCGAAAGTGTTATTATACAGGTCCACAGGTGTATTTACTCTACCTCACCGTTGTTTCTTCAGTGTTTGCTTCTGTTATTTGGTCCGTTGGGCCTAATGAATATGTTCAAATTTCAGGTCGTTTATATGGAACTGGAGAAGGGTCGAAATGCGGAATATTGGCGGGACATCACCACAGTCGTCGAGGATGAGTTGCAAAAACTACGGCGACTTGAGGATCCAACCGCGGGTATGAACGCACCCTACGGTGCTGATAGTCGTGGTCGAACTTCAGCGACTATCAGTCAATCCGTAATGCAAAGTGTTGCCGAGACTCTGAAGGGCAAAACATATCAGCAGCTAGCTGCTCTAGAAAAAAAGGTAAATTTATATGCATGTACGCACACCGTTAGAACCCCGGAATCTATGTTTCATCGCCACCGTAACGATCACTTAGGCAGTGCGCACCATTGTTCTTTCGACCGCCATACGCTTTTTGCACTCATTATTTGTTGATGTTTTCCTTACCTTCAAGTTAACTACTGGTTTTATTTTTAGATTGAGCCGAAGTTACGAGGTGGAGAAGGCGTGGATGTCACCTACTGGGAAACTCTCGCTCAATTCATCCGCGCCCAAATGGCACGTACGCGTTTGCGCGACATGCATCAAGAGAACCTCAAGCGAAAGCTTGAATATCTCCGGCAATCCCAGGGAATTCACGCCGAGCCCATGTTCCCCAGCGGTGTTAGTGGACCTCCGACAGTGCCAAGTATCTCCGACCCATCTAATTCATGCACACTCAGCGAAGATTCTAGACTAATGCCTCCGCCTGCAGCGATTAGTAAAAAGGCTGAACGCGATGCTGAGCCTCCAGTGAGTGGTGCAGTTGACTATAACTACGCATTTTCTAAATTTTTGGGGAATGTGCTTTGACTTTTTAAATTCACTTTGTCTACTGCAGGACGAGCCACCACAAGTTGAAGATCCCCACAGTGCCGAAGCGATACGTGCCGCCCGGGTAGCACAGTTCGAAGCAGCAGCGCGGGTCGAGGAAGAGTCGTACGATCCAGCATGCTACTCGCCTACCCCGGTTGACCCAGCCGATCTGGAGTTAGATGCTGTGGTGTACGCTCCGGAAGATGACGTTCGCAAAATTGAATACCAGGTTTGTGTATATTTTACACGTAACCTCTATCACGTCAAATCGGTTGTAATGCACCTAGGGGTAATGCTGAGATTATAGGCTCCTTTCACTTTTTGTATACTCAACGACTGTTGGTCTGTTTGAACGATAGATTTTCTCCCATTGTGCAAAAATTCATCTAATTGATCATGTGAGTGCCAAAAGCGCTTGGGATAGTTGGACAACACGTAGGAAACAGATCCGTGACCTCAGAGGAAGCTTCAACTGCCCACACGGAGTCAGAACTGGTACACGACCACTGGGCAGTCAAAAGCCACAATGTTCTACCACCGTGCCAATTTAAAAACAATAGAATATTATAATCACAGCATACTTCAACAATGTCCTGGACAAAATGGGCACATGCAGTTACTCGTTACAACTATTACGCAACGATCCGGCTGCAAAGAGGCCGCGCAATGAATCGGCTCTGACGCCCGCGTATGTAGCAAGACATGGTCGCATCAACCAAGCAGCCAGAGAACAAACAGTCGGTAGTTCAGTCACATAAGACTAAAGACAGTCAGTTGGGAACACATAACGTAGACATGAAGATGTTAAATTTGATCTAGTCACTTTCTCTGGTCTCGTATTGACCAACTGTCGACGTGGGTTATTTGTCTACACTTTGCCTGGTTGAGCTGAGTCCCGGAGTGGTTAACTGATTAGACGGAACAAAGGCGTGGAAAATGGCTTGGTAGACTTCGTAGTGCTTTTGTTCACCGTCCTCCTGGGATCGCACATAATCTAGAACAACTCGAGCTGGCGCATCAGGTGCTGTATCTATTGCATTGGCCATTCGCGATTTCTTAACTAAGCAAGACATCGACTAAATGCCATTGGAATAGGGACTATTTCCATCGGGTTTATTCAGGAAGAAACGCACAGAGACCTTGTTGTCTTTTCGAAAAGCCGTCATAGTTTCCTACACCTCATATTTTGTCCACGACTTTCACTGCAGCGCGAAGAAATTCTGCAAACTGGAGCAATGCGGGCATCGGAAGAGGAAGAACTCATGCGTCGTGCTCGTGAGGGCATGGAGGACGGAGAGGATGCTCAGTTTTCGGTCACGGTAAGCTTTTATCTGCTAATTCACACCACTCACTCACTTAGACAATGCATATGTTATCCTCACAATGGTTTGAAGCCATTTTTCTTCATACGATGAGATGTCACGGAGTTTTCACCGCCTGTGTTCAAATCAACGATCAACTGTTTTATATCCGTCATTGAGTATTAGTAACCGATCCTTGCCGATCCGCACAAATGGAAACATTACTTTCTGCTCTCCTTGGTTTGCAAGAAATGATCCTCTTTGAGCCTTCGAATCCCTATTGACTGCGTTATCGCTTCTAGTTTCTGCTAACGTCTTGTCCCATTCCAATCACGATCGCATTCGTTAGGCATAACATAATTTTTTGCGGCACGATAGCCGGTTGTTAGCTCTCCGGAACGCTGTCCATCCGTTACTGGGGACTCAGCCGGCATGCCACTGTTTTTTTCCGTTTGTCCTTTGTATTGCGGCACAATAGCTGAGGTGTTTTCCACCTGCAGCTAACTTGTATAAGGATGGTGATTCCATAACCTAATCTGCTGTGTTACCGAATTACCTGACGCTTGTTGCGAGACTCGAGGTCCAGCTGTCGCTGGTTGTCGAACACGGTTATCTCAGCAAAGGCGTTTAGAAACGCGTCGCAGTCTTTGTAGCTACAAAATTTGCGTTTTATTTTCTGCTGAGTCTCATAGAGCAGGTCTGAAAAACAGTGGCCGAGAGAGCGGTCTTCAAGATCCCGTATACTTCGTTATCTATGGTGTAGCATTTCGATTCCTGACCCATATTTCACTTTGCTCTCGATTAATTCAGTGTAGGTGAATATAGTGGAAAGTTGTCCGCATTGCCAACCTTGACATGTTTGCCTTGTGCGCTCACAGTAACGTTCCTTGCAGAGCCTCACCGCACTTGCGAATGTAATTGCTCCAAAGTACGACATAGCTTTGTTTGTGTTGAGCACATAACAATTGTAGGAAATAGTTACAGATTTCGCAAACAACCGACTAATGTATTTGTTGACCCTCCTCGGGCAAAACGTCTGCCAACAAGTCAAGTAACTGGTTACTCTCAAAGTCTTTTGAAAAGGTGACTTCCTGAACACTTCCACATGTATTCCAAGATATCGAATTACATGATATTTAGCAGTGCGCTACGGCATGTGTGGAAATATTATATCTAGTTAACGCGACAGGTTCGCCTTCCTTTTCAGTCCATAGCGGGTTCCCGTGACCTTTGGATATACCGCTTGATGTTCAGACTCGTCAACATAGGGATTAATGTCCAATTCATATTTTGGACACTTGACTATCATTTCTAGCTACAACTTGCGTTCATAAATAGGGAACAGCAAGGCGGACTTTGAGCAAGTATGCGACACATGGAGTTGTGGGACTCAGTGATTCGGAGTTATTCTGACTTGAAAATTCGTTGGCGAATGCCATCAACCCTTCGATTATAGCAGAACAGTGCTCTTTTCCTCTGTTGTATCGCCTTTTGATTGGTGGTTATACAGTGTTCTCTCAATCATGTGAGTTGCTACCGTGATTCGGTTGTATGTATTCGCAATCGCAAGGGGCAGATCATTCTGATAGTAAACCGTTGTTTGTAATTTTTTGACGACCGTTTTGATCTCAATTTGACTCCCCGTCATTGTCCCACTTTTAGATTCCTGTGGAGGATCAGTCCTTCTTGTGGTCTGACAAATACCGTCCAAGAAAACCAAGATTCTTCAACCGCGTCCACACTGGCTTTGTGTGGAACAAATACAATCAAACGCACTACGACTTGGATAACCCTCCGCCCAAGATTGTACAAGGTTACAAATTCAACGTGTTTTACCCTGATTTGATTGACAAAACAAAAACGCCCACTTACACACTCACCCCATGTGAAGACCCGTCATCACGAGACTTTGCCGTGCTGCGGTTCACAGCAGGACCTCCATATGAAGACATCGCTTTCAAAATCGTCAATCGCGAATGGGAATACTCTTACAAGCATGGATTCCGATGTCAGTTTCAGAACAACATCTTTCAACTGTGGTTCCACTTCAAACGATTCCGGTACCGTCGGTAACCGCACTTACACCTACTACGGTGATGTCTGGTGCACCTGGAGACAAACGCCTAGAATTGACACTATTTCTCTCTTATTTTTTATTCAGAAATTTTGTGAATATGTACATAAATTTTGCGTGTATACTTGAATGCGAATGGTGATTTGTTGAAACACCGTTGTTCCCATTATGACAGCGGGGTGCTCGTTTGGCCTCGAGGTTTATTAATTTTACGCGGTTAACAGGCTATCTTGATAGGTTGGGGCAGTACGCACACTTCTTTTACGACTCGTTTAGTTTCCGTGGTTAGCACTTCGTTCTCAACTTGATCACTGAAAAACTGGCTAAACGAAAGCATCCTCTTGGTGCCTCGTTTTTATCAATCCCAATGTGCATGCAGCTATTATCTCTGCTATAAAAGTCGCCATTGCGCCACGTGTGCTGTATTCAACAGAGTGAATGAGCGAAAACAGGTCACCCCTCATACCTCCTTTCACTCTTTTGAATATTCCTGTGCAACCGCTCCCGATTTCTAATGTGGTTTCAAGTGTGTAAGTGTAGCGACGGTATCAGCTTTCACGGCTTCTGTTTTTGTAAAATGAATTCTTGTCCGCAAATATCAGTGATTGAGTTTCGTCGGAAAGTCAATTTGGCGGTATTCATTTCACGAACTCCCAAGTAACCGGGGCAACAGGGTGCATCCCTCTCCAAACCGGGCGCTAGCCGTTGATGTTCGCTGCGTGTCGGGATTAGCGCGGTCATCGAGCCCACGACATCATCAGTTCGCACCACTAGCCACGTAATTCCTGTGCAGGAGCAGCGGTGACAATACTTTAAATTGGAACATGTGCAACTCCAAAGCTGAAGTGGCTTGGATTTTCCTTGATCCTTGTTTAACTGAGCTTCACCTGCTCACATTGGTCCGGATAAACAGTTGAAACAGCACTACATGCAGACTACTTTAGAAACTGCCCACACAGTGGCGCCTGTTCCGATGGTACCAAAAACGACTGTCAGAACTCAGGTCCTGTGTGTGGCTTTAGCTGCAAAGAATACAGGTATGCAGATACATCAGAAATTCGGATAAGAAGCATATTTTGCTCCTATATTGGGTTCTCTAACAATAGCGGGTGCACACACTAGTGTACCGACTGTAGGAACCTCTCGGTCAGTGCTGCTGTTCAGCAACGAGCCCAGGCAGATCCGGTGGCAGTCTTACCATTGACCTTTGGTAACTGTGGGACATTTCCCCAGATTCCACCCACTAAGCAAGATCAGGCTTGGAGCAACGTCTAACTCGGTGGTTCTCAACCTGGGGGTAATTACCCCAACGGGGTAAAATGGAATTTTACAGGGGGCAAATATAAGTACGGGAATTGGGTCAGCACTATCACCAAACAAAATCATCTGCATCAAAACATGCAACCAACATTTTCATTATTGATTAGTCACCAGTGACTAATAATTAGTGAATTAGGCAATTTCCAGTAATAAATTTTATTACCTGATTTACGAATACGAGCAGTGCAGCTAGATGGGGCCTGTGTCGGCCCGCACTTTGTCGTTGTTTTTCTAAATCAGGTTGTCACTCGCCAAATCGAATTACAGAATTGAGTGAACACTAAGGTCGGAATATAAGTCAGTCGACCAGGTAAAGAGGCGCGCGAATTTTTACAAGGTGGAAGGGACAAAACAGGCGATCAGTGTTCAACTTGTGTCGACACCGAGTGGCGGTGGGAAGCTGTCACCCAGAAAGAACTTGGGACGGAGGGTCGAAAGAAATGAGAGGCCACTGACATCTGTTGACGTTTGTTCAGGGATCACATCGAAGCAAGGAACTGAATGAACTTGGAGCATGAATTCGAAGTGCACTAGCCGAAACTGCACCAAACACACCTGAAATTGTTAGAACTAAGCAACACCAACCGTCTCATTAACGAACGTTAACATTTGATTAATAAAATTGCCAAAAATAGGTGTTTTCTTTATTTGAATGATTAAAAGTAAGTGAAATCAGTATTCCTTTTTCATAAATTAAGTTAACTGAATTGATTATTTAATTTAGTTAAATATCTTTTTAAAGTAAAGTTTTTGAGGGGTAATTGTATAAGATGAACATGCTTTGCGGGTAGCAGACTCAGAAAGGTTAAGAACCAATGGTCTAACTGCCTAATCGACACTTACGATGTCTAACCTCCATGCGCGATTCCGTTATGCCTTCAGCGTTTGCGGTAAAATGTAACGCCTACAAATATATGCATCTGGTGGAACCCATACTGCAGCCATCTCTGGCGACTAACATGTTGAAACTGAAGATCCGTCGGGTGTGAACTGAGATAAGAAACAATTAACCAGCCAATATATATCGTAGATTCAAAAGGATAGGCCGATTTGATTGATTATGCCTACCAGAATCGTTTCAGAAGTCTCAGCGAATTGTTGATCAGGTAACTAGCTACCGTTATTAAGAGCATTCTTATTCATGAATCAGAGCGTCACTAAGGCCAGTGACATATTTTTTAAACCTCATCTGGTCATCCGTTCCCTTGGGATCGCATCAGACTGCATCAAGTTGAACCATGGTCAGTCAGCTTAGAACTGCCGTTTGAGTCTTGGATTCACCGTCTTATTGTTGCATTTTGCCCGTCAGTCGCTCGAGGGCCATGTTCGCTCAGGCATCGTTCAAAAGTTGCAGTCATAAAGGAGCCAACACGTGGAGAGTGGAGACTGAAGTTCGAATGCGTAGTCTGTTGTGCCCATATTCGAGAATGGCAGACAGGACAGCTGCGAGAACCAAGGAATCAACCAAATATGAGTAGTAGCAAGGATGACTTAAGCAACTTCATTCCCCCGACCCACGGCTTGCCCAATTACAAAAGCTACGTTTTTCGAAAATTGGGAAGCTGAAACAAAGCCCTTCCTAAATAGTTCTTTCCATCTAGTGATAACCATACTTTTTCGGCTTCCTAACCATTGCTGCCCGCAGAAATTGTGTCGCGTCGCCTGCATGATCCGACTTGATAGCGACCAGCGGTGTTTACTTTTCTATAAGTAATCAAAACTTGGTGATTGTACCGTTCACTGAACTTATCAATTTTGTTGCAGTTTCGTCACCAATCAAGGTTACATCAACCGTGCGTTGTGTGTAGTAGAGTAGAGTGCGTCGAGCTTAGTGTGGGTGCGTTTTCATGTCATTGTGATTGGCCGTGTGGACGGGCGATCCTATTGGATGGTACTTCGATCCGCGTTCTGTTTGTTCGATGAGTGGATGACCTTTGAACTTGGCCACTACGATTTGTGCTCCGTGATTTTTGTCTGTTTCCTCTTGTGATCAAGTATGTCGCCCGATCTGGTTGTCCAGTGCCATGTGATGCCAGATCCATTCGATCGAGCTGGCGATCCCTCGCCCGTAGTGTTGCATATAATGCGTCCAGTTCAATGTGTCGGTTCATTGAATTCACTGTAGTGTGTCAAGCTTCCAAAAATCCCCTCGCGTGCTTTGTACTCCCATGCGCCAGGATCTCCAGATAGACTTGGTGACCTTCATGCGCGGAAACCAACGAATGCGGATCATGTCTTCTTACGGCCGCCTTGGGTAGTGTGATCCATGTACAAAACTTTCTTCCATTATATCCGACGTAGTTTTTGTCGCAGTCGCTGCATTTTATCTGATATATGACATTGCTTTGGTCGACTTGATAGACTTTTTCCTTAGCCCTTGAGATTAAATCCCTTAAGCTAACACTTGGATTGTGAGCCATGTAACCGCAGCAATCTTCCTGTTAGTTCGGAGACGTCCTTGATGTAGGGGAGCACTATTCGTTTGTTTGCTTGCTCACCTGGCTGCTACTGTTGTTTACGTGTTCGTTTCTTCGAGCTTCTTCTGATGAAATTTCTTGGATGGCTGTTATTTCGGAACACTCGATACAGGTGGCTTTCTTTCTGTTTTCGCAATTCTGTTGTGCTGCGGTGTGTTCCCGTCCTTTTGAACGGGATTCGAATGCAGCTATTTTTGTGATTGATCGGGCGGTTACTGATGTAGTTTGATATATGGTCTGTATGCGTTTTCTTCCCATATACGCACGTTTGCAGTGATCCGTCGGTATTACTGGTGACCAGTACATCCAAAAATTGTAATTCACCTTTCTCAAATTCAGTCGTGAATTTGATATTCCCGAACGTGCTGTTAAGCAAATCGCGCGTGATCTGTACTCTGTTCCGTTTTACGAAGATATGTGTCGTTTACGTATGGTATCCAAAGTTTCGGGCTGATAGATGGCAGTCCATTGTTCTCCAATTTCTGCAATGAGCCCCGATATTAGGGATCCCATGGGCGTTCCTCTAAGTTGCCTGTACGCTTGCCCGCCAAAGCGGAAATAAGTGGTCATGCAGAGGTTCAGAAGTTCCCACAAACTTTCACGTCGCATGGCTGTCATTGGGCTTGGTTGATTTTGAAATACATCCATCATGGTTTCTTTGGCTAGTTGTGATGAACAGTGCAGTAACATCGAATGAAAGCATAATTCCGTTGTCTTCTATCTTGACATCTTGTTGTGGGATTGTTCTGTATCGTTGATCAGATCGTTGTTCAGACCCATCAATCAAATATTTCAAGCTCATCCACAAACCCTTAGTTATTTTATACGAAACAATTGGTCAGAATGGGATTCCATGCTTGGATAGTCCATAGAATAGCGCAATAGTATCATTAGCTGCCATTCTCCATCGCTCTATGGCGGTGATCTCGTCTGTTGCGTTTATTTGGTTGACTAATAATGAACTTGGGTCCTGATTGATCGAGCAAAATGTAGCGGAATGCCGGTCACCATCAGATGAACTTGGACCGTTTTCGATCCACCAAGCTAGCTATTCAACTAATTATATGTAAACGGCTGACGAGAATACGCGAAATAGTTGAATTCAGATGATCCTGTAGGAATATTCTTCTTTCTTTCTATCTTGATATGTAGTTGTGTCAGATAGTAGTTCTCTGTCCTTACTGATGTACTCCGGTTTATCCATTATCGCTGTCATGCGTCCTTTGTATGTTGGGAGGACTACAACTTCTTCTGCAGACATCCTGTTCCTTTTTCGATAGAGTCTGGGTAACTTTATTCCGAGTTAGCACCGGGACAACTTTCTGTCATATTTGTAGCTGAGACTCCCCCAACGGTCTGATTTTAATGCATGTTCTAAGCTTACCAAGTTATCTTTGGGGCAAGCATCATTTACGTCTAAGTTGAGCCATTTGATCAAGACATCCAC